AACAATAGCAATAGTGAAGGGAGCCTGAGCGCCATAAGCCGATACAGCCTCCTTTAATGGTTTCATATCTTTAAAACTCAATGCCTGGTGTTGGCGAATTAAAGAAAAGGTGGATACAGGAAAGCTATCGGGACCTTCCTTATGTAATCGTTTCTGTAGGTCCCTTTTTACTTGTCCCCAATCTGAAATATTTAAGCCTCCTCCCGTTAAGAACCACGGACTCGCTGCAACCACTGTTGTAAGGAAGGCTTCTATGGTGCGCTGCTTAACTGCAATTCCCTGTTGCTCTAAAAGCTTTGAAACTTAATGCTTTAAAAGTTTTGAAGCTTAATACATTAATTTCTCTTTACTGTTTCTGGATCCCAATTTCACCCCAATACGTCCTTACCGGTCCAGGACGACCCCGTCCGTTGTTCCCCCTTACGCAGATCACGGCAGGGATACTGCAGGGATACGAGTCTGCGCAGGGGACGTCGAGGTTGAAGAGTCAGCACATGTAGATGGTTGCAGCAAAACGTTCTCTCTCCCCCATTATCCTTTCCAGCCTCCCTTTTATACCCTTAATCCCAGGATGTTGGCCTGGGGGCAGGAGGAAATCTCCCTCACATGTGCTACTGCGATCAGGTTGGATATTAATCAGTTGCCCAAAGGTTAAGCCACTCACACAGGTGGCAAGATGTCTTCTTCCTATTATGATCTTGTGCTTAAGCTCCGGGGGTGGTTGGGGAGGCTCATCCCGGCTGGGACCCAACATTATTTGATCTGAAGTTTTGCAATATGGTTTTGTTTAGGATGTCTTCATGAGAGAGGGGTAGAAGGGCTGTATTTTTATAGTTGAGAGCCAAATTCCTCACCCTAGTAATTATCACATAATAATTTCATGCTATGATTATTGACATCATCATTATTATAGAACATGACAATTTTTAGTTATATGACAAAAGTCTGCATGCTGTGATACAGCTAATTATTGATTTATTTGTTTTTCATTAAAAATATAAACCTTTATTTTCCACCAATTTAACTTTTGTATTTCATTTCAGATAAGGGCAGTGTTAGTTCACAGGCTGGTTGGCTTATCAAAGTAAAAAGCTGTGTGTGTGGTTTTCTTTAAAAGCGGACTTCTTCAAGGGTTGTTGAATCTTACTGACCTCCTTCAGGAAAGTAAATTTGAGGAGCAAGGTCAACTAAGGTTAGAGGTGTGTATGCAGATCTCTTCTTATTTAAGCATTTCAAGAATGCAGTGTCCTGTGCTTCACAGTTGCATAATAAAGATGTTTGGCACTGGGGTGTTTGACTTTACTTTGTAGTGTGACCTCTCAGGATCAGGCTATTTTTCTGAGAGCCCTGATGTCCCATCTTTGTGCCAAGTCACAGGAAAGGACATAAAAAGCCAGGGGAAGCTAGGGTGGAGCTCAGAGGACTCAGGACATCTCGGTGCCTACTGTCTTCATTACCCTCACAGGTTCTCTGACTGCACTTTGGAACTATGTGGGGTCTGTCTGAGCCCAGGTCAGCTGAAGTGGAATTTCTGAGATTTGGACCTGGGCAGTTGGTTTTTTTTTTTTGTTGTTGTTGTTGTTTTTTAACTCTCCATGTTATATTGCCATGTGGCCCAGGAGAAGAACCACTGACTCAAATGTGGCACACCATAGCTTCTGGAAGCTCACGTGCACATCAGGAAGGAAGTAGGGCTGGGTGTATTCTGAGGAGGTGGACTCATATTCTCAGGAAAGTTGAACTGCATTCACCCAGATCCCGTGGTTTCTCCACCTCTAATGTGCCCTACTGCTGAGCCACACAAGTGGAAGGTGGTCCTAGTGAGTGGCTTTGAGTAGCAAGTAAGAGGATCTGCAGGGAGATAAAAATCACTTATTCAAACAAAACACACACAGTTGTGGCCAGGCAGGTTAGGGCAGGGCTGTAGCATTTATTCAGCACAGTAGGTTTATAATATCACTTCATGATACATTTTCTCATCCAGGCCTGCAGGCAAGCTGTGAGACTGATGAGAAAAAAGGGTGAGAAAAACAGGAGGGCTGGGATCACACACAATCGTGGGACTGTATAGACTCATATAGACTCAGCACTGTCTGGCTCCTGACTCCAGGTCTCACTCTGTTACCTTCAGTGCTTTTTCAAAAGATTTATTTATGTATACAAGAACTGGGGCATAGGCCAGGGGACCCTTCAGTGCTTTTTTTTTTTTAAGATTTATTTATGCACACAGAACTGGGGTGTTGTAGGCTGGAGGTGCAGGCAGTGAGAAGCTTCACTAGAGACAGAGGAGGAAGCAGGACAGGCAGATCTACTGAAATACATTGCTGAGGGGAGCAGCGGACGAGATAGGAGAGGTCTGCTGTGCCTGGATAGAACTCACGCTGAGGCAGCTGTGGTCAGCTTGGTAGTGCTTAGTTTTAACCACCCCCCTCTGTTGAGCCACCAAGGAGGGCCCCCCTCCAGTGATTTTTTTAAAAGATTTATTTATTTATGCATATAGAGCTGGGGTACAGGCCAGAGATGCAGGGGCAGTGAGAGGACTTACCAGAGACAGAGTGGGGAGCAGAACAGACTCGACTAATGAAGTACACTGCTGAGGGGAGCCGCGGATGTGTCAGGAGCGATCTGCCACGCCATGTGGTCACCTCTGGGGCAGGGGGGTGATTGAACTCATGCTGACGTGGGTTTAGGATCTTAGTGCTGTGCTGTAACCTGCTGCGCTATCAGGGAGGGCCCCCTCCAATGATTTTAATGTCTGTCTTTGACTTTAAATTTTCCTGCTTCAACATATAAGACAAGTTTCTTGTTCCCTTGAATTCTCAATCAACACTTGCAATACTTGAGGCAAGAGGGCTAACAAGTGAGAAACTGCCCAGGGAAAATGTCAGCCAAAAGAGCAAAGAAAAGTATGAGAGGTTATGTTAAAGCCATCTATAAATTCTGAGTTTGTATCTACTATAGTAATTGCTGACATTTACAGAACACATGCAAATATAAACAGGTATATGTAGAAGAGAGTTGCCATTTACTAGGCTTTATGAAAATTGATTAATGAATGTAATCGTTTATAATTATTGTGTTATCACCCATTAGGTATAGTACCAAGGGCTTTACAGATACTGTTTCCTTACTCACTCCATGCTGGACAGTGGAACCCAGAGGTAGCCCCACAAAGGAAGATTCCTCTCCAATCCCTATTTGTTCCTACCACCTTCTCCCATTCAAGACAGGACCATGAACCATTCTAAAGCTGCTTCGACTTGGACTCTTGGTACCAGGAGAAGAGAAGCCCTCTATCCCTCTGGCCTATGCTCAGAAACCCACTGTAATCAGCTCAGGTTCTTGACTGACCTCCCAGATCACCTGCTTCCGGAGTCTGGCTTCCCATGCACAGCCTTCTCACATCATCCAGGTAGATGGGGCTGGCCCCCTCAGACTTCTTACCAAACACTCCTTTGTCTCTTTGTCAATGAGAGATTGTAGAATTGCACTCTGAACTGAAGCAATAGGATCCGGGCTGGCCAAGCTTTGCTGACTGCACATCAAATGAGCCATGACATCAAATGAGGGCCCTCTGTCACCCTGCCTCAGAATCTTGCAGAGACTGCTTTGAAGTCTTCACTTATGGGCCAGGCAACTTCCATACTGCTCTCACACTGGTTCTCCTCTGTTGCGAGGACGTTTCCTGCTGACTCCCTCCATCTGCAGCATCATTCACTAGCTCTTCTAGTGGCTGGATCCTTCTTGGTTTTTAGGTATCAGTTCCATGCTCAGGATCTCATGGAATCTTTTCCTGATCCCAGTGATGAATGGTAGTATCTTTCTTTGACACTTAACATTACCCTTACTTTATTTTCACAATCATTGTACTTATTTCTTTGCTTGCTCACTATTTGTCTATACTCGTTATGAAAAGTAAGCTCCAAAGTGTTTTCTTTCTCTCACTGCTCTGCTGCATAAAGCTGCTACTCCCAGCCTGGTGCCTAGCCTATGTGACATAGTCAATAAATATATGTTGGACACAGGACAGAACGGCGCCTCAGTCACCCAGAGTCATGGTGTTGACCCTTGCCAGTAGCCAATGGTGTTTTCTTATTTACATCTCCCACATCCCCTAAATAAATTTGCACCACTTTGAGGGTTTTGTTGTTTTTGCATGGGCTAAATTACTCTAGGCCTGTCTGCTGCTGCTTCTTCCCCATATCAGGTGAAGTTGCTGTTTCCCTGTGACAACCTTCTTTTTTTTTTTTTTAAGATTTATGATTTATGCATACACAATGGGGGTACAGGCCAGAGGTGCAGCAGTGGTGAGAGGATTCACCAGAGACAGAGTGGGGATCAGAACAGGCAGATTGATAAAGTACCTTGCTGAGGGGAGCAGCAGGCAAGGCAGTACATTGCTGAGGGGAGCAGCAGGCAAGGTGCCAGTAGGTCACCTCCCTGACTGAGGATCGAACCCCTCCTGAAGCAGCTGCAGCTAGCTTCATATGCTCTGTTTTAACCCTTTACATTCCATGGACGGCCTCCCCTTGATTACCTTTTTAGTGACTAAAAGAAGAAAGGCAGTTTGGACTTTCTGTGAAAGCAGCAATCACTGAGCTAAACAGATATTTTACTAAATGTCTGTTGAGAACATACTGGTTTTATGTAAGGGTTAAAGCAATTGAAAAATTATAACCATGCAATGGCAACATGCCTGGTATTTAGGCGCATATGTAAGCGAAGTATCTACATTCATTGGGTTTTTATGTTTATAGGTGATAAAAGACATATCAAACAAAACAGACACTAGCCTTTGAGGCAAAAACTAATTCAAAATTACTAGAGATGACCAGACCTTTGTTCATAGTGGAAGGTGATTTGGGATCTGGGAGTCTGTATGGTATTTCATCAAGGTGATGAAAGAGTATTTATTTGTACAGGTAACAGGTGAGTTCTCTTGGGCAGATCCTGCAGCATAGTGCTGAGTATCATCACCTCTGGCCTCTCTGTTCCCTTAGGTGCAGCCGATGGATGCTCCCGTTGTCCTCTGGCTACAGGGTGGGCCAGGAGGCTCATCTTTGTTTGGACTCTTTGTGGAACACGGACCTTATGTGGTCACCAGTAACCTGACCCGTAAGTATTACTGGGACTCCATCTTCCTGTGCAGAAGTCATCATCTGAACCTGATATCTCTCTGCTCCAGAAATCATTTAGGGTATATACTAAACTAGTAGGAATAGCTTAACCATTCGAGATTATAAAAACATAACTTTCTGGCAAAGTCTGTCCAAGAAGGAGGAGCCGCCAGCATGAATGTCCGGGCAAGCTGCTTTCTTCTTGAAATTTGGGTGAAAGGTTTTAAGCTATTTTTTGAAGTCTGCTGCTGACTCAAGCAAGCTCAGCTTATGAAAACAGTTGGTATTTATTACTATCTGGGAGAGGTCTCTTGCGTGGGATTAATGTCTAGGACTGTATCCCCAGTTACTCACACAGACAGAACACTGATTCAGTCACAGAAATGATTGACTATCTTGGAGGTAAGAAACTGTGGGTGGAGTTGGAGTGAAGGAAGACATGGAGAGAGCACCATATCTGGCCAGAACCCAAATTTCTCACCATCTCATTTTTTTTGGAGGCGGGGAATTGTTTACTTTCCCTGGGTTAGAATTTAGACAGCAACCGAGTTTGTGACTCAGAGTAAAAGTTTGTATAGCAGTTCTACTGAAGTTGTTGTTCTCGTTAGCCATGGATGGGGGGAAAAGAACTCAAGGGATAGGAAGTTGAAGATGATTCATTGAGTTAGACAGATGGGTTAGTGCAGTGGTGGTTAATGAGTGTTTCCACATGAACCAGTCACACAGGGTTTTGTTTCCAAAGTTCATCTCAGTTGGAGAAACTTTCTGAGTCCAGACAAAGGAGAGGGGAGGAGAAGGGTTGGTGTCTATTCCCTCCTGTATGAAGCACATCAGAGGAACATCTGAGAGAACAGAGGGTACATTGGGTTCCTGACCAGAACGAGGTCTTAAAGGGGATGTCTTGTCACCCACCCAGCCTGAAACATCTTCTCTGCTTTCCTAGTTCATGCCAGAGACTTCCCATGGACCACTACACTGTCCATGCTTTACATTGACAATCCAGTGAGTAACTACTAATCTGGTAAAATTCCAATGTTGTCTTTTGTCTTTTCTTTTTTTAAGTATTCTTTTTTTTTTTTAAAGATTTATTTATTTATTCGTACAGAACTGGGGCATAGGCCAGAGATGTGGAGGGTGAGAGGATTCACCAGAGACAGAGTAGGGTACAGAACAGGCAGATAGACGAAGTACACTGCTGAGGGGAGCAGCAGGCGGGTCAGGAGAGGTCTGCCTCACCATGTGGATCTCCTCCGGGGCAGGCGGGGATTGAACTTATGCGGAAGTGGTTTAAGCTTCTTTGTGCTGTGCTTTAACCTGCTGCACCACCAGGGAGGGCCTTTTAAGTAGTCTTTAAAAAAAATAATGGTAGTTGTTTTACTTTTAAAACAGAATTTAATCCATTAAAAAACATTTTCAAATTAGTTTTTCTAACATGTATCATGATTAACACACTGGGAAATTTGCTCATTCCTCTCCCTCCTTTCTTCATTTTGAATCTTAAGAAATGTCCTGTTGACTCAATTCCAGGATAAGGGGTTCATTTCTTTTTCCTGGTGACATGGAGTCCCCATATCATGGGCCAGCTTAGAAGATTTGAAGGCCTACGATTTCAAGTAGAGCCCCATGTATAAAAAAGGACAACACTGATTTTCACTTATCTGAGTGAGCAGAATACCTCATCTCAGAACAAGAAGCTGAATCTTCTTGGGAAATTTTTCTAAAATTGAGTCCAATAAACTGCAAAATAGGAAGAGTGACATTAGGGTCAGCTCCTGCTGGCAGAGAGTATCTTTGCCCCCAATTAATTTCTCTCATTTCCTTTATGGTTTCAAGAAAAAACAGATAAATAGGGAGGGGAAAACTTCCAGCACTTTTGTTTCCCACTCCCCTGCCTTATTTTGTTGACCATCCTCTTTCCGAATCGGTCATTACTTATTTAAGTAACAGTTGATTTAAATGTCTGTCCTATTCCCTTTGGGGCTTGGGCAAAAAATAAAATCATATTTCTACCTAGAAAGGGGTGCACCTCTTATACAAATTATTGCACCAAATAAGTAGTAGTTTTATTGTTTTTGTTTGTTTGTTTTTGTTGTTGTATTTTGAGTTACTGCTCAGTTGTCTATGAGCTGCTAGGTATAGGGAAATAATCGTTTAAAGTGATTTAATTGTTTTAAACTTCCTTTGCTACTAAAGGAGAAAGTTATTCTCATAAACGAAGAAATGAAAACACACATCTCTCTTTTACCCCCAGCCTAGAGTGCTCCCTCTTGGTGGCAGCGAGGAAACAACTTTGGGCCCTTTGATGGTGTGGTGGGAGGGGAAGGTGACTCCCTGAGCTTTCAATCTCTCTGGCAGGGTGCCCAGTTCGGAATCAGGACAGATCACCATGGTCCTGCGGCCAAGTTTTGTGCAAATGTTTCACTTGAGCTTGGGTTGGGAGGTGGAAATAGCATCGTCCTATGAGGATGGCTGGAGAAACCTGGATAAAGGCAGAAACAGCAGATAGAGGCTGGCCTTTGGAATAAGGTTAATTCCTTTGATAGTGGGCTCTTTTGGCAAGGCTCTGGGATACACAGTTCTCTGTGCTGATACCTGCTTATTTATTTCACCTTTAGGTGGGCACAGGCTTCAGCTTTACTGATGAGCCTCAGGGATATGCAACCAATGAGGATGACGTGGCACGTGACTTATACAGGTAACCAGCCCAGGCAGGCTCTTGTCTGCAGGCCAAGTGATGTTTTTGTTTGTTTGTTTATGGGAAAATTCTTCTGGTCGAAGAGGGATTTTTAACTGGCCCTCATAATCCAATTCCTGAAGATATTTTTAAAAAACACATACACACACAGAGTTTTCACCTTGTTATAGCCATTGTAATGTAATTCAATGGAAGGGACTAGCAGAGAAAGTACCATGAAGAACTGAAATCTTAAGGCCTATTGTTATTTTATAAAAATATCTCTTGAGAAACAATAGACACAGAGAAGAATTTTTCAACCAGAGGTTATTTTCAAAGCTTTCAGCCAGATGCCTGAGAAGCCTCTGCTTGCTTTCCAATATTACATTTAACTTTGCCAGAAAACAACATCTTTTCAGCTGTTTGTTTGTTTTCTTTCCCAGAATTCTGTCTTTTGTGACCTTCAGATGCAATTTTTCACTCTTGTTTTCTTCAGACTTTTCCTGACTGGAAGTTCAGCTTGTTAGCAATTGTCTTTTTTCCCTTCACCTTTCAAAATTATTCTTTTACTTAAAAAAAAAAAAAGGACAGAAATCATCAAAGTCATAATAAGCCTGATCCAACAGCATACATATAATTCCTCCCTTTCTTTGTTTGACTCACTCATTATAGCCATTTTTAGCACTCTTTTTTAAAAGTAAGTGATCTTTCTTATTTGGTCACATTCTCCCAGCCTGTGAGTTATGACTAGAGACCAAGTTCTGAATTCTTTCTGATCTTGAGGGTACCACTTGATGTGTTATAAGAATTTACTAAAGAAATCTTAGTGTCCTGAAAGAGTTAACTACCTCCTCTCCCCCTTGCTGCACCATCCCCCTCACCTCCCTTCCACCAGACACTCCTGAAATTACTTGGTGAGCAAACCCACCAGATCCCCAAAGTGAAAGTGAATCTAATAGGAGTCAGAGTTTTTTGATCTGACAAAAACTTTCTGTTTTATTCTTTTTTCTCCCCAAGGCAGATGACTGGAGGAGAGAGAAAGAGGCATTTCCTTGCCTTTCTCCCAAAGATGTCTCTCTCTCTCTCCTTGCTGACCTGGAAAAACAATATGGCTGTTGTCTTCTCAACTTGCATTTGCCACATATCCCATCATTTTAACACTTCTTGATATTTTCCAGGGAATGATGCCTGGGACCCCCTACTTCTGCCTCCAAGTACAATGGACCCTGAGAGTAGATTATCCAGAGCTTTCCAGGGGTCCTTCTCCAGAGCCCTGGACCTCCAAACTTCCTGCTTGCCTCCACAGGCATATTCATAGATGGCTGACCTTGCAAACTTATGCAAGCACAGTATCTTTCTCATGTAGTGTAGTCCAGATTATGTGCTCTGGGTTTTGGGATGGGAAACCTCCTGCTTGCCCTGGCCCCTGCACTGACAATTGCCTTTGGCATAAATCCAAGCAAGTTTAGCAGTTTAACTAGCAAACAGCCTGAGGGCTCAGATTCTGTATTAAAAATCCCCATCCCTCTAAACCAGAGCATGGCCTTCCCTTTCTGTCTCTTGTCCCTCCCCCAAGAGGTGACCCTCTGTGTGAATATTTACTGCTGACATGTGGTATATCTCCTCTTGCATGACATGTAAAGAGAACCTATTTCAAAGCATCCATTGTTTATAGCTGTTTTAGTTCTTTTTGCTTCAGGCTCTTAGAGCTGGAAAATAACTAATCAAGGGTAGTGCAGAAAACTGATTTCAGCTGTTTCTTTTATAGTTTACACTATTTGTTTCCCTTTGTGTCAACATTCTTCTCTCCAGCTCTGCAGATGGGTGTTTGGAATAAGAAAGTCTCTGAAACCTGTAAATGGGCAACTATAGGTTTAAAGGATAGATCTTTTTTTTGCTTCTTTTTAAAAACATCTTTATTCCTGAAAATCCTCTTCCTGTAGACTATTAATAGTGCACTGCTGTAAGGAACAGACTCCTAAAGACACATTTGACTTTCACATTTAGGCTGGTTTGCTTTGTGTTTGGAAATAAAACTTTTTCAATAATGAGATATTTAAATATTCTCTCCCATCTTCTCCACTTCCTACTCCCCATTTAGAATGTTCTGTTGTGCCACAGTGCCTCTCTGATGTGGAACAAAAAAAGTACTAAGGAAGAATAAATTTATTGACCTTATCTGGAGGTTACTAGCTAGTGTTACTCTCCATCACTACCTCTTTTTATTGATTGCCTACTATGTGCCAGACACTGCTCCAGGTGACACAGCAGTCAACAAGCCCCAGGTGCCTGCTTTCCTGGTCCTTCCTTTCTGTAGCAACCATGAAGTTATTTTCTTAGCAGTCAAATGGAAATGCTGCTATTGTTCTATTCCACATATTGGCTTGCATGTGATGTTGCTTTAAAAAAAAGACCTGAGGAGTTTTTTTCTCTTAGTCTCTCTCCCAGGTAACTTTTGACTAAAATTCTACTTATTTGACAATAACTTGGCTAATGCTAGCAATGGAATTACCTGAATGAGGGATGTTTCCTGTCCCAGATACATCATGTGCCAAAATAAATGCATCAAGCTCTCTCCCTCTCGTGTGTAGTATGTATAATATATAATTTAGGAATAATTGCTAAAACTGTGCTACTGAACATAATTCTAGGTCATATTGTTAATTAAGCAAACCCTCCCCATGAACTAAAAATAGTCCTTGATTAAAGCATAGTCAAAGGGGCATAGGCATATATAAATCTCATTTATTAATTTGCCCTCTACATAGCTCTCACTCATTGGAGAAAGACCAACTGGAGTTTGATATGTAGACATTACTATGAATTTAAAATGCTACAACTTCCTCACGTAGGACATTGCCTTAGAAACATAAGCTAGAAAATTCTGTATTTTCTAGCTAAAACCAAGTTGAAAGAGTGTCTTCTTCAACTAAGATTCCAGGGAAAATGTAGACTTCCCAGTCAAATTAGAATTTTAGATAAACAATTTTCTAAACAAAATATGCCCCATGAAATAACTGGGAAATACTTATATGAAAACATTATTTGTTATTTATCTGAAATCCAAATATAATTCAATGTCTTCTGTTTCTATTTGCTAACTATGGCAACTCTAACATCTCAACACCAATTTTCCAAAGGGAAAAAATAAAGCTTTTTGTTACAGGATAAAGATGAATTGAAGTTTATTATATTAACTTAAGCTATTGCCATTCCAACTAGCAGAAAGAAAGAGAAGTAGCTTTAGCCTGAAGTTTCAAGAGGGGTGGAAAATAAATTCCTATTTTTATCTCTGCTCTAAAGCCAGCTTATTGCCAGCATAAACATGGAAGCTATATAACTCAGGTTTCCATATTTAGTTGCGGTAAAGATTGTAGTTGCTATAAATAATAAATAGAAAGACACCATAGCGCTACAATAATGTTCAGTGGTAGATTTTTATGGAGCCTTTGAAAATTAAGGATGGCCATGATTGTGGTGATGGTGATGACCCAGCTTTGCCTCTCTGTAACCCTTGAACTTTCTCCTCCCCCTGATCGTGCAGGGCCTTCTTGCCTTTCATCTTCACTGGAGGGTTCATGGCTTTTAGTCTCTCTGCAGGAAGCTGGAATGAAACCCTGCTTAGCTTGTCAGGCTTTATAATCTGGGTCAGAATATGACAGAGCTTCTGAAGTCCACAAGTTTTTCTTTCCTTTTTCAAAGATTTTGGTCAAGGAGAGAATCATTCTTTTCTTGCTTATTAGGAAATAATTTCTTGAGCCTGTTTAAAGCTATTTCAGCTTAACTCATTGAAGTGGCTGTTGACATTCCTTAGGGTGAATTTTTGAACCTGGAGGTCACTATACATTTACTTACATGTCTGTGGCCATCTGGTGGTTTTCCTTTTTAGAACATAGTCATTTTACAGATCTTTGTTTTTTGTTGTTAAAACACTGATGTTCTGGGAGCTCCTTACTGAGGGAGGTTAGTAAGCAACCAAGCTTCCCATCATATCTCTCCAAACCCAGGTTAAAGGGGCCATTGCAGAAATTTCAGGAACTGCTAAGTAGGAGCTGAAAGAAAGCCTGTCTCACTTGGTAACCCAAAGAGCGGTGATATGTCCAGGTGTCTCAACTTCTCAGTATCACAAAGGAAGCCCACAGTATTTTCTAACCACCCGCAGTGTATGGAGTATTATGCACATGAGCCTTTGAAAAATTGCCTATGAAAGCTTACGGTGATATCTAATTTCAAATGTGGAACCTATTGTCAGAGGGTTAGAATTGGTAGCATAGCATGAAACAATTCTGAGCCCATGCTTTTATTGCTCTTTTCCTTTTTGCAGTGCTCTCATTCAGTTTTTCCAGTTGTTTCCTGAATATCAGAAGAATGATTTTTATGCCACTGGGGAGGTAAGCTGAAGTCATGTTTTCTTCCAACATCATCAGAACTGAAATATATTATGACATGTGGGCTTATTCTTTCAGTATCTGCCTTCCCCTACACACACAGACAGGAATTTAGTCTATATTCAAAATTCCCCACTTATTCCTAAAATGTTTTCCATTGCATACTTTCTAAACTCAGAACTCAGTAGAAGTTCTTCTATCATAATAACTCATCATATTTGAGTCCCCGCTTTTCTTATTGACATTCATGGTGATGATTTTGAAGAGTCTAGTCCAGATGTCCTGTAGAAATTTCTGGGTCTTCTCTCAATGCTTAGACTCAGTGAAATCATCTTGGCAAAAACACCCCACAGATGCTGTTGTGTACTCTGTGTCTACCACATCAGGAAGCATGCAACACTAGTGTGTCCCACTTTGGCCATGCCACACTTAATCACATAGTCAGATCTTATTCTGAAAAGCACCTTTTTCCTTTATGAGATTAATAAATAATCAAAATCCATATGAATATCTTTACCCCTCACTGCTAGTTTCAGTTACTGATGATTCTGGCTCAATCAATTATTACCCTACCCTGGGGATTGTAAAACAGTGATTTCTCTGATCTATCTTTGTGGGTATCATCTGGTATTTTCTGTAGAGATCTTTCCCTCCTCTGTTATTCACCTAAAAAAAAAAATACCTGGAAGTCATGTATTATTGTTTTTGATATGTTAAGATTTATTATATTATGTTTTTGATGCTGATGTTATTCTAAAATTGGACAATGGGAGTTCCTCTTAGCTGAATCCTGTGTCTTAACAGGTTCCCATTAGTCTTTGAGCATTTTCTTGACTTTTGACACAAACAAATGTTACAGAATTATTTTGTACTTCCCTGGTATAGCTGTAGGATCAGTTGCTTCTTCAGGAATGCTGGCTCCCTTTAATGGGAATGGCATTTAAAAATCAACACCTGAGCACAAATGTGCTCTTGCTACTTGGATGTCATTTCTTTTAAACTAACTGTCTGCTGGTAGAGCTAGGAAATAGAATTATTTCACACTAATAATCACAGTTCTAATCCAGCTTCACAAGTTTCCTTTTCCTATCCCCATTCCCTATTTGCTCTGGGTCCCCAACATCATCAGTTTATTATTATTTTTCTCAATCCTATGATACCTGCAAGATAGTTTCAGAATTACTACCTCAGTAAACTACCAACCAGTTATTTTTGATATTTTCTTGCTACAATTATTTTTATCCTTAGGCAATAGCTAATGACAGATTTAAAAATCTAAGCATTATGTAGAAAAGTTGCTTGAGTCCATTCTTTTTTCCAGAGTGATTGTATAACAAACTAATATACAGTTAGTTTTATATATTGGTTCCAATGGTTTTCTTTTTTGATCTTTTTAAATTTAAGTTTATTTTAAAAAATTGAACAATAAATTGAAAATGCAAAAAATTGCTAGATGCTAGGTAGGTAGGAATGTATTTGTGAGCAAAATTGAAATATTCTAGTGGTGAAGACAGTGATAAATAAACATTAAATATGCACTACTTATCTAGAGTTATTATCAGAGTGTTAAGTGCATAAAAATGATAAAAGCCAGTGGAGGGTTTGAGAGTGATTGAGGGCTGTTTTGGATGAGATTTTCTGAAGAAAGCTCTCAGATAAGGATACAGTTGAACAGACCACTGAGTGACACAGCAGCTGATTGTCATTGCAATATCTGGCACAAGAACTTTTCTGGAAGAAGAAACAGAATATTCAAAGACTCTGAGGCATACTCAGGTTTGGTGTAGTTAGGAAAAATTGTAGAGCCACTGTGGAAGGAACTGTTGTGGGAGAGGCAGGCAGATATTGTAGAGCCCTGTTGTCTATGACAAAGAGGTTGGATTTTCTTAGTAATGGGAGATCATTGAAGCATTGATGATGGGTACAATGTTCACTGAAAAAGTATTTTGAATCAAACTCAATTCAATTCAGTCAGTGCACATTTATCAAGTACCTGCTCTGTTTGAGGCACTGGGCAAGTATTAGAATTCTAGTGATTTAGTAGGCTTTCACTCTCACCTAAATCTGAAGGTCTAACAATAATCTCAATACATATGGAAAAATACCATTAAAAATGTAGTTATAACAAGAAGAAGGGTGCAAATGTCTCTCTCTCAATATGAGATCCCTGGAAAATGTTAAAGAGAGAAGATGACAAATGGGATTTTAAAAGTATAAATAGGGGTGTATCATCCAAGTTTCTTTTGTTTGCAAGTGAAAGAAACCTTACTCAAAGTGGCTTAAGTGAAACAGGAGATTTATTGTCTAGCATTAGGTATGACTGGATCTGGGTTTTCAAACATTGGTAGAAGGAGTTTGTTTCTCATTATCTTTTGGTCTGTTTACCTGAATTTGCACTTCCCTTCACAGAAATTCTTGTCATCTGTCCCCTTGCCTAGCTACCTCATCCCAGATTTCTAGGTATAACCTACCAGTTCAACTTCTCTTTCTCAAGGATCCCATCCATATCCCTCAATCATACTGAATCCATCTGGATCCCATTCATATTCTAGAACTAATAAGTGGGCAGATGGAATATACAGATAGACAAAAATGCTCAACCTATCCTAACGTCCAAAATCTTAAGGCCAGGAGAAGTGGAGTTGCTCTGGATTAACAATCAGGAGACCTAAGATTCATTGTTGACCTTGCTCTTCCACTGATGATTCTAAACACATTTTTTAACTGCTCTGGGTTTGTGCTTTTTATTTTAGAGCCAGATCACTTCCACTTTTAATTAAACCTACTTTGTTACCTAGATGTACAGTAGAACATGCAAATATATAGCAGTTTTAACATAGAACAGACCCATCCTCTCTCTCACCACCAAAAAGTTTTAATGGATTTTTCAAGAAAAGGAAATTTTTTTCTTCTGAGCTTTTAACTCCTCACACTCTTAAGAAAGCCAGGCACATATATATCATTAAATTGTAGAATACTACTCAGTTTGAAAATAAGCATGTAAATTCATAAATTACTTTCTTCTTTTCAGTGCAGACCTGATACCCTTCACATTTTCTTGCTGCAAATGAGTGTTGCCTGATACTCAAAGGCTCTGAAGCAGCTGTTGAGCTCCCTAACTATGGTCTGGGGTGTCTGGAAGTAATAATAGTACCTACTCCATAGGGTTGTTTTGAGCATTTAATTAGATAATCCCCTTAAAATATTTAGCAGAGTGAGTGACTGTGGTGAGACTCAACACATGATGACTATTATCACCATATATGTTGAAAAGCTGGGTGAATACATTATGGCTCCAAAGCATATGGCATCATGTGTGTCACAGGGACCGAAATGTTGAAAAAGTTCTGCTCACTTGCTAGGGGGTGTGGAATTGTCTCTCCTGTTCTGCGTATCATATTTTGAAATCTCCTTTGAAAGAAGTAGCTCATTTCACCTCAAAGATGAGAGTGTGAACCCTAGTTGTTGATATATTAGCAGTTTTGTTTGCTTTTGATACCAACAGGAGCAAAATGTGTCAGTACTGCTTCTGGCCTCTTGCCATTGCCATGGGGTCCTGTGGCAAAGCCACATTCAGAGGTGGAGTGTAGGCCTGAATCTCTTGAGGAAGGAAGCGCTGAGTTGTCTCTATCCCTCCTTTTGGCCCAGAACACCAAATGGAATTCATTTTCACTAAAGAGAGGCAAATGTGTCTGTAAATCACCCTCCTGGCAGCATTAAAAAAAAAATGTACTTCAAAAAGAGAAACAAGCTGCATTGCATTCACATAATTAACTTTCTTTACAAGTGTTATCCTTTTTGAGCCAGTAACTGCTAATGAGATTGCTCTTGGTCTTGAGGTACAGACATACTTTAGAATCAGCTCAAGTGTACTTGGGCCCAGCTAGAAGTGAGAGCAAAACAACCCAGCCTGGAGGGCTGGACGGGATGGGAAGCTGGGGGTTGCCCAATGTTTTCTGAGCCGTAGCTTTAAGGCCAGGCAGGGAATGATTCAGCGCCTCCAGGAGCTCCTAGTCTTGCTAGGTAACATCTAGTAGAGCAGGTCTAATTCTGGAGACTTCCAGAATGGTAGGGCTTGTGATTAAACTGGGTATTTTTTCCTGATCAGCAGGAAGGGTCCAGCTCTCCCTAGAAGACATTTTGTTACTGTAATTAATGTGAGCACCAAAAAAGGCAAAATTTTGAAGCTACTTATTACTGAGCTTAATAAGATACTTTATTTTCATCCATGTGCATGAAGCCTGGTTGGATCCTAGAGTCTGACAACCTTTATTGAAATCAGCATGGTCCGTTGGATTTGGGTGGTGGTTGCCCAATAAGCAGGAATTGAGTTTAATTTTTTCATGCAATTCTAAGCACAGTGTTTGATAACTATTAAAGAGTGGCTTGTGCAAAATCACAATGGATTATACTTCTCTGCAGTTTCTCCCAGATCCCAAGCCATGAGGACCCTCCAAATACTCTCCTATTTTCCAGGACCATGATTCACCTTACCTCCAACCTGCACAGTTCTTTTCCCTTGGGAAGACTGTGTCTGTCTCCTGCTTCTCCATCTTCCTCCATCCTCAGCATGATCATTCTATTTCTCTTCGTCTTCCTGACTTGTCAGGTTACTATCCATTAGAAAGGATCTAATCAATTAAAGCTAGTCCCAGAGTATTTGTATCCGAACAAGAGACAGAACCTAAAACATAGATAATTTGTAATGGGGATTTTAAGCACCCCATACAAGTTAGGAGGTGACATCTAGGTTAGGATGGGAGAACTATACTAGCTGTGGATGATCATCATTTCCTGTGGGCTCACCCCATCATCTTGGTTAGTCCAGGCTAATGATCATTGCATTTAGTAGCTAGGAAGGGGCCCTCAGAACTATCTACTTCATCTGTTTTCTTTGTAGGTCTTAAAGAAGAATATTTTTTTTAAGAGTGCATCCCTGCTAAGTAAGATGCTAAATCCTGTTCCATGCAATCCTTAATGTTTATTAAGGATTAAACAAGCTG